GAAAAGAAAAAAAAAGAAAACTACACTAATACTCCTAATGAATATAGACACAAAACTCCTAATAAGACCCTTGCAAACAGCATTCACCAATACATTTTTTTTTTTTTTAAAAATCATTCACCAGGACCAAACTGGTTTCAACCCAGAGGTGCAAAGATAGATGGTTCAAAATACACAAATCAACAAATGTAATACACTACATAAGTAGAATAGAGGATAAAAGTCACATAACTATCTCAATAGACACAGAAAAAGCCTGTGGCAAAATCCAGCATCCTTCGTGATGAAAGCCCTAACAAAAATAAATACAGAAGGATTTTATCTCAAACTGATATAAGCCACAGTTGACAAACAGCTAACATCATACTGAATAGAGAAAAACAAAGCAGTTCTTCTCAAATGAGGAATGAGGAAAGAGTGTCTATACTCACTATTCTTGTTCAATACGTTACTTGAAACTTCAACTAGAGTAATCAGGCAGGAGAAAGAAATAAAAGGGATGGGAACAGAAGAAATATGCTGAGCTGTCCCTTTCTGCAGGTGACATGATTCATTATATTCATGATCCCAAAAGACTGACAGGAAACTTCTAGAAATGATGGATACATTCTGCACACTGGCAGGATACAACACACACACACACACACACACACACACGAAGTGGTAGTGTTGCTAGGGCCGGGAAGAGAACTCTGTGGACTAAGTACTTGCCTATCAAGTGAAAGGCCCTGAGTTTGAGCCCTGGTAACCATAAAAAAAAAAAAAAATTAGTAATGTTGCTGTACCAGTAGAGAGCTCACTGAGAAGAGAGCGCTGAACAATTCCACTTATCATAGCTTCAAAAAATTAATTATCTAGGAATCAATACAACTAAAAATGTGAAAGATCTCTATAATGAAAATGACATCGCTGAAGAGGTTAACCTCAGAAAATGGAAAAATTCCTTATATTTGTGGACTGGAAAAAAGACTTTTGTTAAAATGACCATTTTAGTAAATATGGTTTTCAGATTCAGTACATATGTTTCTTTCTTTTGTGTGTGTGTGGTTGTAGGGAAGGGTGGGTGTACAGGGTGCTCAGGGGCTCACTACTAGATCAGACTGGTAGTGATCTGCCTGTTTACAGCCTTCCAAGAGCTGGGATTGCAGGTGTGCGCCACCACGCCCAGTCTCAACAGCTGTCGCAGTCTGCCCCGGAGGCAGGGCCGGCATGGCAGGCCCGGAGATCGAACCCCCGGCCCCTGCACCTGCTTGCAGGCACTTTAGTCCACTGGGGCTATTTGGCTGGCCCTTCAGTACATTTCTTATTCTGCAAAAAATATCTTCATAGAGTTAAAGAATAGCCTAAAATGCGTATGAGGTCAGAAAAATAAAAAAAAATACCCAAACCAATCTTGAGCAAAAAGGGCAATCTTGGAGGTGATGATACCAGAGTCAAATTGTGCTCCAAAGCTGTAGTAACAAAAGTAGCATATAATATTCACAGACACACACACACACACACACACACACCACGACACACACACAGTACACCAATGCATAGAACAGAAGACCTGGAATCAACCCTGTGTACCTATAGCCATCTGATTTTTGACAAAAGGCAGACAGTAATACCCTGGAGGAAAGGCAGGCTCCTCCAGGGCGCTGGGCAAGCGGGATATCTACTTGCAGAAAACTGAAACTAGATCCGTATCTCTCACTGTAGAGGGGTATCAAACCACAATGGAACTCTGAGGTATAAAACCAGAAACTCCGATCCTGCTGGAAGATAGCATACAGGAAGCACTCGAGGCCACAGGGACAGAGAAAGATTTCCTGAATGGGACTCTAATGCCATAGAAAATGATGTCAAGAATCAACAAATTAGATTACATCAAATTCAAAATCTGCTGTACAACCAAGGGAGCAACAGAGGGAGTTACCACCTACTGAGTAGGAAAAATCCTTTGCTACCTGCTCACGTGATGGAGTCTATACCTAGACGATATAAAGAACAACAACAGCAAAAATAGTTCCCCTGAGCCACTCAAATAAAAAATGGGCGAATGAACCAGAGAGACATTTTGCAAAAGAAGCAGACTGCCCAATAAGTATATACAAATATTCCATATATTTAGTTATTAGAAAAATACAAATCGGGACCACACTGAGATCCTGTCTCTCCTCAGCCACAATGGTTATCACCACAGGCACCAAAAGCAATGAATCCCGGTGAGAATGTGGAAGGAAAACAGGCTCCCAAGAGCTGGGATTACGGGTGCGCGCCGCCACGCCCAGCCTCATCAAGTCTTTTGCATCGCTGGTGGGATAATTAACCCGCCATTTGGAAAGCAATACTGAGTTTCCTCAAAAATCTCACAATAGAAATGCCATGTGCTTCACCTGGATCACCTGTAGGTATGATCCTGAATGAATTCTATAGCACTCTATGAATGTGCATGTTTATGGCAATGCAATCCCCAATCTCTAAACTGTGTAAACAGCCTGGATTGCTGTGAATATATGAATGCATACTGAAAGCGTAGTATGCAAATATACTCGGTGGAGTACTATACAGCCAGGAAGAAGACCGAGCTCATGATATCTATAGAGAAATTGACAGAACTGGAGAATATTATGGTAAGCAAAGTAAATCAGACCCCAAAAGTTAAATGTCTTGTTTTTATCTCATATATGAGAAACCTGAAATATGAATATATGAATAGGATAAAGGAGTGAAAAACTGGAAGATACATTCTTAGAAATGGGAAAGGGAAGCAGCGAGGGGCCAGGAAAAGAATGAGATAAAAGTGACTGAAAGCCATCAAGGTGCGGTACCTGCACGTGCCACGTTCCCCAGGGAGCATCACTATTCTGATTCACAAGCACTCAAAAAGGAGCCTTACTGTCCTGTCCAGCTTATTTCCAGCGATAGCGCCTCAGCAAAGCCTGTGCCGATTGGTTCTATATAGACCGGAAATCATTCTCTCCTGCTGCTGATTCCGACCAAACTTGCCCGTACGCTGCAGTTTCTCTGGTCTCTGTATTCTCTGTCCATTTGACTCCAGGCTCCTTGCAAGCAGGGGCGCTGCCTCACCAAGCGGCCTCCGGGGTCGTCCTACAGATGCCACATGGCTCTCTCAGTTCTAGGTCCAGCTGCTGTCACTCGGAAACAATGTGTGTTTCAGGCAAGTTCTTGAAAACTGAAAATGACATTGACCTACAGCAAACTAAAAGGGCCACGCAGAATAAAGGCCAGAAACAAGTATTCGTCGCACTATTAAACGGCCAAATACTACTTTGTGAAGGCAGGAGGAAAAGCCTCTGTAGCTGATGGACGGACCCAGAGGCAGAACTTGAACGTCCCTCGGCCACGGAAGCCACTGCTGTCGCGTCTCTCGTGAAGAGAATGAAATTCAAAAGCTGCAACGGAGCCCCAGGCAGCTCTTCCCACCGACATCGCGAGAGTTTGTGTGGCTCAGTGTCCCTGAGAACCGAGTCCCTGTCACGGACGTGGGCACCTTCTCGCTTTACTGTCCTGCTCACGGGCAGGCTTTCCTTGCTGAGGGATCCAGCCGAGGGCAGGCGGTTAAGCCTGGGACTTCCACGCACTGCTCAAAATTTAATTCACCTGGGAAGCTTCCGCAACTACTGCCACGCAGATCACGCCCTGACCAATTAAATCAGATCTGGTGGCGAGACAAGCCAGCTGAGGGGAGTCTGTCAAGATCCCCCAGGTGATCCCAGCGTGCAGCAGAACTGCAAATTCTAGCACGGGCTACATGTTCTCTCAGCTGCTGAGAGGCGCGTGTCATGTTCCAATCTGGCCACTAGATGCCGCTACTGCCCGAAGACGGGAGGAGAAGCTTACTGGTTCTTTTCCTGATGAGGAAAGAGAAGAGAAATCACTTTGCGTTGATTGCTTTTGGCGGAGCAATATGCTGGAGCAGCGAGTCTGAATGCAGAATAATTAAATCACCTGCTGAATTAAGTTTAAGGAGTGAGGCTGCTTTTTGTTATGTTTAGGGAGCTGCTTAGTGCAGGCGGACTGCTTTGGAGGGAGGCTGGCAGGCTGGAGGTCAAGGCATACGGGGAAAGCAAAGATGTGTAGGAGGCAGAGATCCTCGAGTGCCTTGGGGACTCTGTGCCCCGCCTGCGCCCGTCACCTGGGGCTTGCTGCCCACTTCTCGCTTTTCCTGCTGTCCTCATTTCCTGTCTCCCTGTTGACCTCCCTGAGGTCCTGCGGCCAGAGACGGATGGGTGCACCGCGGCCCCACGCAGCCTCCCAGTCGCACTGCGAATCTCCTACAAATGTGCACGGCGTACGGAAGAACGCGGAGGGGATGTGGGCAGAAGCCTGGGTGACTGAGCTTCGGTGCTGCGACGGCTGTGAGGACAGTGGGTCGTTCTCGAGCGGCTTTCCTACTGGTGTGAATTCATGCTTCTCCACACGGGCAAGCCACGAGGTCATAGTAGCTTATCCAGCCTGAGCGTGCTCGGCTGCTTCAAACAGCATATTAATGCTTTTAATAAGAGCAACAAGGAATCAAATCTTTCCAATTCTTTCATATTCTTTTGCAGAGTTTGCAAACTGTTCAACAAGCTCTTTAACGATTTCTTAAGAAAATAGTACATTTCACAGTCTTCTAAAGACCAGCACAGCCTCTTTTCTCTCTCCTGATGCTGCAGTTTGTCACTGAGCTCGGCGGTTGCTATTTATTACTGATAGATCAATTTCTGCAAACAGCATCACTCATGTGAATTCAGATTAAAAAGCAAACAAAGAATACAACGCCACGCCAGCCCCTACTGCTTTCCGCAGATTCGCGCAGCTGCCGTGTAATTGTCAGGGCGGGATCCATCCACAAATGTCGTTCTCGCTTAGGAAACGGCCCGAGAAGAGATTCTGTCCCAGTGTTACCCTGACCTCTTAGGGCCCTACAGGGATACAGGTAAAGACGTTTCCGGACCAATCAGCCCCTGGGCAGGTCTGAGCGGCTGCCCTGACACGGGAGGACTCACCAGCTCTCTGTAGAGTGGGTCCAAGGTAAACCACAGGGCCACCGCACACCGCTGGCCTCTGGTGACGGCCCTCACACCATGCGGGTTCTCTCCTCCAGAAGAGAAGCTGATCATCCGCCCACACTTTGGCTTGATAGAGGCCTGAGAAAGACAGAGAAAAGTAAGGCTTCCGATCCTCATACCGTGACCACGTCCCTCCATGGAACCATTTGGGCTATGGTTTAACCAAAGAGTAACAGCATCCTGGCTTTAAGGGATCACATGCCTCCGTTTTCTTATCATTAGAACAAAGGTTCAGTCAAAATAATACCTACATCATGAAATCATGTTTTGTGATACTGGGGATTGAACCCAGGGCCTCTACACTGAGCTACAGTCTCAGCCCTTTGTCATTTTATTTTGTTTTTGCAGACAGCACCGCACTAAGTCGCTAAGTTGCCCAGGCGGGGCTTGGAGTCACTGCGTTCCTTTCTCAGCAGCCCCCAGAGTTCTGGGGTTACCGGACTGAGCCACTGTGCCCAGCGAATAAAATAAGGACTCCAAGAAAACTGCGCGGCGCACCCCCCGCACATGGTAATTGCTCCACGCGTGCTGTTCACTGAACCTACAGACAAAAGGGCAAAAAGTCTCTTTGAATTCACTTGTGGAGCTCTAGCACAGACACAGCACCCGTGTGTCAGGTAGGCCTAGGCTTAATGTTTGTGACACGACAAGGAGGGGAAGGTGATATCCAGTTTTGTTTGTTTGGCGGAACCGGGGATTGAACTCAAACCCTTGCTCTTGCCAGGGAAGTGCTTATTCCACTGAGCCATCTCCCCGGCCCCAGCTTCAGTTCTAATAGTGGTCTAGGTGGTGGTTACATGGGTGCCCCACTTCTACTTCTTTACTTGAATATTTCTGTTTTATGTAATCCTTGCAATCCAAAGCTTTTCCGAGCCAAGTGGAATCCCACAGGACGCGGAGTTCCCCGGGCAGTGCTCCTGGGCCGCAGGGTACTGCTGGGCTCTACATAGGCAGTGCTATAAAACACTCCCTCGTGGTGGTGGCCGAGTGCAGGCCTCCAGTGCGCTGGGCTGACGGACACAGCACCTCAAAGCCTCTCTGCAATGCTCCAGTGGGGAAGCCCCCACATTTAGGCAGGAGAGGGACAAGCAGGCACTCCTGGGGAGAGGCTGCAGGAGACAGAACCACCAAGAACATCCCGCAAGCTTGAACGACTGGGTATGAGGGGCCTCAGTTTTGCATTTAAAGATGCATCCAATGTGCGCAGAGCCCACTCCTGTCTCCTCGGGGGACACTGACACATTATTGGGTCTACTGTAAACTTAAAGTAAGGCAAAGGTAAAGGATAGTACTAGTTGTGCTTCATGGTAAGACAGGCAGCTTAAGCTCACTTTTTTCTGAACTGATTTCAACTGGAATATGCTCATTAGAAGAATGTCTTCTCTCTGGGAAAATGAGAAGAACATCTCAACCTTTTGTTTTGTGGCCAGCTCAGCTCACCCCGGGGGTGGGGATGGCGTGGCATACGGTACCGGGGATTGACCCACCATCGTCTCTGAGTGCTTCGCCTAAGCTTGCCTAAGCAGGCGCTTTACACCGCTGAGCTATCTCACCGGCCCCTCAATATTTTCTTGAAGTCTATAAATGATACATAAAATGGATACTCCCACAAATGCCATGGTGCGTGGAAAGTCAGACGTAGGGGGCGCAGTCAGAGGCTTGTGCATGTGTGCGTGTGTGTATGTACCTATGCATCTGCATGCCAGTGTGTGTTTGTGTGCTTCGTGTGTTGTGTAGGTGGCTAGTGAGGGGAAGCACGGAAAGGAGCAGTCGGTCTCCAGCTTTCTCCTGGTCACTATCATTAAAGGGTGCTCTGGGCCCTGTCCAGAGGAGCCTTTCATCAGCAGCTCTGTCAGGCTGGCTTCTGCTGCCAACCTGGCCTCTCCCGGCCAGTGATGCCTTCAGCTGGCGGGTTCTTCCCAGAGAAAGAACTTCCTGTGTATTATACTATCCAAGAGTGGGGACGGGACAGTTGGGTGCTTTGTCTCTCGTGCAATCAGAAGTGTGAAGAAGCTTGGGACAGTTTAGGAAAACAGGCCATGAAGTGCCTGAGGCAGTCTGCACTGATGACCGGCGTGTGGCTGACCAGGCTTGTGAATAAGCGGCTATCACATGGGGGGGGGGGGGGGGATGGACACACCTGTCACGCGTCAGCACATGGCTGAAGGCTTGATTCAATGCTTCTAAAAATAGTCGCACCATTTCTTAAAATTATTGATCTCCAAAAGGAGAACATTTTCTGCTTTCATATGTTTATAAACCAGAGTTCCAGTAAACTGAGCTCAAACTGATGAGTATTTCAGGGATCCAAACACTGAACAGTTCCAACTAAGACCACTAGGTGGAGAAGAACCAAAGAAATCTCGTTTCTGATTCCTGATTTTCATGCAAGATGTATAAAACGCGAACATTTTTTTACCTCTGTTTCAGGGTTAGCAGAAATCAAAACTAAAATACTTTCTACACACAGCTCTTCTAAAAGTGAGAATCGTGTATTCTTGGGTATTGGAAATTGAACTCAGGACATTATGCTTGCCGGGCAGGAGCTTCCGCCACTGAGCTGCATCCCTAGCGCCCTTGTACAGACATTTTAAATGATCTGGTTCATCAACTTTGATTTTATTTCACAGATGATTAAAATCAGACAATTTCCATATTAATACTGAATCTTTCAGAAAATTCTGAAGTATCAGGACATTCTAAAAATGAATAACTATATCCAAGTGCTTGGAACATTTTTCTTACTTCTAGCAATTTTCTGGGAAAATTTCAATGATTATCCTGATAGGAATTCTCCTTAAACCCAGTAATAGAGTTATTAATAGCACTTGATAATACCACTGAAGTTTGCCATATGTGATCATAGAGTAGAAAATTACGTAAGTTATGAGGGCAAAAGTTAAAATTTATAGTTTCAGAATTGCAAGGGCAAGCCTGAGGTATATTGTATACACGTGTCCCAACTACTTAGATTTTGTATAAAAGAAATTTATACCTGATGATCTACTTATTATTTAATTTCCTCAACTGGAAAATTGTTTTCCTATCACGGGGCACGCTCTTTGGCTTAACGATCAAAAGACACTAATTATTTCACTTCCAAGTGTTAAGTAGGCCGGATGTCCTGTTGGCACTGGATCGCTTAGGCAGGCAGTGGTTGCACGTACCATGAGATTTCCTTCACTGTGGGTAGGGATGCCGATTCACAGCATTACCACCTACACTTGCAGTGACGTATGCCCATACATACACGTCCACGTAGAATAGATGCGTTCACTTGGGTGAGTAGGGATTTAGACACGCATGCTCAGTCCGCGTATGGAGAACACCAAGTTACGTGCAACTATTCCGTATGATCATTTGACTTGTTCCATACTTGGGTAACTTAGGAATTGACATGTTTACATTTCTATCAGATTACTTGAAAAAGAATCAGAAGATCTCGGTTTCAGTTCCTAGTCTACTTGGGGTTACTATACAAACACAATCAAATCCTTAAGAACTTGATTATTTAATCTATGACTCTCTAAAATGGACTAATATATATATATATATGGGGTGCCCCCTCCTAACATTTTATGATCTACACATTTCATGGACTCGCTTGCCTCTTAAATTCTTGAGCTTGTGAAATCCAACAGCCTGCCTTCCCCTGGAAAGATGGCAAGACCGTGAGTAAAAGACTAAGTAACTTTGTGGGCAGTGGGATACTTACAGTCACAGTCTTAGCATCCATTTCAGTGAATATGAATTCCCCTCCTTCAAAGTCATCGTTCATATACAGGAGAGCACTGCAACAGTGGAGGGAAAGCTGTTCAGACAACTAAACGCGGGCCACATCCTCACGATAGAATGCTAAAGGCAGATGGGAAACAGGCTGGCCTGACCAATCAGTTGTCTTTGAAGTAGACACTGAAATCATTGACCCTCTGAAGCCTTGACGGTAAGATCAAATGAAGTATGTGTTATATCCCTGAGGTATTTATTGATTCTACATACGTGAAAGACTTAATTATATCTTAAACTTCCTCTCAGTTTGCAATTCCTCCAAAGAATTACCAACTACATTGGATTTAATGAAGCCATCTGAACTCAGCCTCATTGCTTATAGCTTTCTTCGCATATAAGAATTACTCTAAAGGAGATTTAAAAAAAAATAGCTGGAGAGCTCCTCATGGCCTAGCTCAGACTTGCAGTAAAGGGGGTGAGCGATAAACTGAACAGGACACAGCACAGCAACAAATAACATACTATCACACACAGAGAGACTATAATTACTGTTTATTCTCATCCTATGTACAGATATTTTTTTCCGTAAGACAGAATATTATTTTATTTTGAGTTTCAAATTTCTTACTGATGAAAAGTGGACACAGTTCTTCACAGGAGTGACTAACAAATAGCTGATGTGATACTATGGTTTGCGATTTTGCAAGGGGCAACAATACAATACAGGACATTTAATTCTAAGATTATTCTATAATAATCACCCAAAGAATCATATACAGAGAGTACAGAAAATCTTTCCACACAGTTAAGATCAAAGCTTCCAGCTGAGGGCCTCAATTCTATGGTAATGTCTTGCATGAGTCCAGATGAAGACCTGGAGCCCATGACAATGTCCC